CATCAGCCACTAGAGAGTTCTCAGCTCTACCAAGGCTCAGACCGAAGGGGCGATCCTGTCCTCAGACTGCATCTCCAGACTGCACTGAGCTCCTGTCTCCTCCCACCTTATATTCCTCTCCAGTGCTGGGATTAAAGGAGTGGAATCCCAAGTGCTGAGATCACCTTGGTGAGAGTTGTATTTCTCTTTTAGACTGGATCAATTTTGTGTAGCTCAGGGTGGCTTGAACTCACAGAGAGCTATCTGCCTCTGTCCCCGAGTGCTGGGATTAAGGAGTATACCACCACTGCCTGACCTCTATGACTAGCAGGCAAGCTTTATTTGTTATATCATAAATAAATTAACCTCACATTATATTATCTCAAAAAAAACAACAACAGTGTGGATGGCTCCTGAGTAGTAACACATAAGGCCGACCTACAGACCCCACATGTATGCACATTATGTGTATCCCTATGTATATGCATACTCGAGCAGACATACGTAGCAGGCTTTCTTTTAGGTCACCAACCAGCTCCCAAATCATGACATGGAGACTTATTATTAGTTATGAATATTTGGCCTTATCTTATGCTTATCCCAACTAGCTTTTATAACTTAATTCAAACTGTTCTTTTCATCTACTTTATGCCTCAGGGCTTTTTACCTTTCTTTCATTCTGTATGTCCTAATCCATGTCTGATTGCCTGGTGACTGCCTGGCTGCCTGGCTCTGGGCATCTCCCTCTCTTTCTCCTTTGTTCTCTCTCCTCTCTTTTCTCTTCAGCCTAGATTCCTCCTACTACATATTCTCTCTGCCCACCTTGTTATCCCACTACTGCCTAGCTATTGGCCAGTCAGCCTTTTATTAGACCAATCAGGTGCTTTAAGTAAGCAAAGTAAAACAAATGCAACACATCTTTACATAATTAAACAAATACAGCATAAGCAAATGTAACACATCTTTACCTAGTCAAACAAATACAACATAAGAAATGTAACACATCTTTACACAGTTAAATTAATACTCTGCAACATCAACACATCTTTACATAATTAAAGAAATATTTTGCAACACATACACACACACACACACACACACACACACACACACACACACACCAGGAAAGACACAACCTGGAGAAAACAGACTAAAGAAGAAGGCAACAATGCAGTATTTACAAAGCAGAAAATTAAAATACTGCAGCAGAAATAAGAAGCCAAATAGAAGTAGTGGAGAATAAAATTAATGAAGTCTATAGAAAATAGAGTAGCAGAGTGGTGGTGGCATACACTTTACTCCTAGCACTCACGAGGCAGGGGTAGGGTGATCTTTAGTTTGAGGCCATCCTGTTCTATGGAGCCAGTTCTAGGACAGCCAAGCAGACACAGAAAAATTCTGTCTCAAAAGACGAAGAAGAAGAAGAAGAAGAAGAAGAAGAAGAAGAAGAAGAAGAAGAAGAAAGAGGAGGAGGAGAAGACAAAGAGATGAACTAATTTCACAGAGCTATCTTCTGACCTCTGCATGTATACATGTGTGCACAGACATACACGCATACTAAAAAATAAATTTAATGGGAAAAATCTGACTTAAAAATGCATAGTTTTCATTCATAGATAACTAGCTGCAAGGGAAGCTGATACATGTTGTCTTGTCTGTGTGGACACACATTCAACTAAAACTATTCAAAAGATGAAGAGACTAGATATATGAAAAAGCTGAGTAATCTTTATTATAAAGTTTAATATCCAAATAAAAGCAGATCCAAATGAAAGAACCAGAGCAGGCAACAGGGAGAAAATCAGCAAGCAAATATATATATGTAGATGAGTAGGTTGTAACTGTTTACAGACCAACCACCCAGTGTCCCACAAGGTCACAGTATAAAGCTGTGAATTTTCTGGAAGATCTGTGAATAGATTCCATGGCAGAGACCTATATGCTAAAAGGCTATGTTGCTTTTCCTCATATGCATGATCACAAGTGCAGAACAACTCCAGAAGTGGAAGGATTCTAGACCCACAACAGACACTAACCCACTTAACAGTACAACAGATCTTTTTCCTTTCAAACTACTTTCTTCTAGTGGAAAGTTCCATTTTTTTGTTTAATTTTATTAATTTTTGTGTATGGGTATTTTGTCTGCATGTATGTTCACTGCAGGCATGCTTGGTACTTGTGGAGGTCAGAAGAGGTATCAAGTCCTCTGAAATGGAAGTTATAGATGGTTGCAAGCTGCAGTGTTGATGCTGAGAAATCAAACTCTGATCCTCTGAGAGAACAGCTGGTGCTCTTAATGGTTGAGCCGTTTCACCAGACCTTTATTGTGTTTTATTTTTCACGGCAGAGCAACCCTGCCTGGCCTGGACCTCTCTATGCAAACAGGAAGGCCTCAAATTCAGTGATCTGTCTTCTCTAACCCCAGAATTCTGGGGTTTAAGGTATATACTATCACACTTAACCCTAGTGGAACTTAAAAAAAAAAAAATCTTCCAAGCCAATATCATGCTCATAGCAGATGGAGTGAACATCCACGCTTAGGGTTGCATCTCCTACCTTTCCACACAGGTAGCTGCTCCTAAGGAAGTTTCATGGTGTTTTCAGAGGCCATGAAGCATAATGAAGGTGAGGCCAGCAGAGCACAAACACTGTTAGGAGGAAGTGGCTAAAGGGATTAATTAAGGAAGATATCGAGGAAAGAGAGATTACAGGTGAAACCCCATTGGGAATGTTGCTATAGTTTGGATATTGTTTGGCCTATGGCCCAGGCTTCTTATTGGCTAGCTCTCTCTTAATTATTAACCCATTTCTATTAATCTGTGTCTCTCCCCATGGTCTTGGCTTAGCAGCTGCATAGCCTCTCCTTGACTCCACCTACTACCTTTCTCTATCCCTGTTTGGATTTCCCACCTGGCTAAATTCTGCCTGTCCATTGACCAAAACAGCTGCATTCATCCAATAAGAGAACATATATTCACAGCATACAGAAGGACCTCCCCCATGAGAGGTCAGTCATCGGGATGGGCTTCTGAAGAGGAAACGGGATGCCAAGCTCTCCTCTCTCTCTTTACTTCCCCTAGCCTCTCCTGCTGCGCACTCTTGCCTAAAGGCAATGGAGACACGGAACATTTAATAGGAGGTTTGCTTACAGTTTCAGGGGTTTAGTCCATTATCATCATGGTGGGAAGCATGGCAACACACGTGACACTGGAGCAGTAGCTGAGAGCTACATCCTGATCAGGAGGGGAGGGGGCTGGCATGGGCTTTGGAAACCTCAAAGCGGCCTACAAAGACATTCTTCTTCCAACAAGGCCACACCTCTGAACCCTTCTAATCCTTTCAAAGAGTTCTACTCTCTGGTGACTAAGCATTCAAATGTATGAGCCCGTGGGGAACATTCTTATTCAAATCACCACAGAAACCAAGAGCCAAAAGAAGTGTTTCTACCTTAAAGGTGATTTATACAGGTATCTTGTCATAGTTATGGAACAATGACTAACACAGTCTGGGAAAGTGGGGAGGCACTGAGAACTGTGTCAAATGAAGAGACACACAAACTGTCAGGACATCCTACTTTTGTCATACTGCCCAGTGACCTTGAGTCCAGTCATTGTGCCATTTGTTATAACAAATAACTAGCAGCAGATCCCATTGATCATGGAGAAAGAAGCTGAGACCATTTTCTTTTCAGAAATGAACTTCATTAGGAGAGAGCCTCATGACTACAGGAAGGGGTGTGGTCAGGCCTTGAGGTGGGAGAGTGTTAGGAGAGACCATGCATCACTTCAGAGGCAGCAGCAGGGCCTTAAGGAGAAACAGGGGCTTCCCTTTCAAACTCAGACAGGAGCTCCATTAACAGTGAGTTATTCAATGAGTAAGAGCGAGCCATCACGGAGATATGACAAGGGACCTGAATGAGGAGCTTTCAGAAAACACTCCAAAGGGGACATTCTGGCTTTTCTGGGTTTGGGGGAGCTAGTGGGAAGTTCATATCACACAATCCAGTGTGACCCCAAATATGGCCAGAAACTGGGCAGATTCATAAGTCTTACTTGCAGCCTTCAGGGGAAGGGGCTGTGAGGCCACAGCATGGCAGGACTTCATAACTCTGTTGCGAGGGAGAAAGGCCCAGGGGTGTGGCCTGATAACTACACACTGTCATATCTCAGAGTGACCAGCATCTTAAAGTGGCCGGCCCATATCTAACAACACTTTATGCTTATATCTGAACAACTGAACCCAGATAAAGAGGACACAAGTATTCCAGCTACACAGACCTTAAAACTGTGCTCACAATTCTCAAGCAGGCACTCAAGATTGCCTAGTAATCTTACTGTATTTACCTAGTGACTTTACTTCTTCTCTATTCAGAATAAGTACTCCACTCTCTCCTGCTCCCTCTCCCTCTCTCCAGAGTTTCTCCTTGTAACTCAGGCAGACCTGAAATTCACTTTGTAACCTAGAATGTCTTAGAATATGAGATCCTTCTGTCTTGGCTTCCAAAGGCTGGGAGTATGTGCTAGTTACTTTTCTGTTGCTGTAATAAAATGCCATGACCAAAGCAACACATAGGAAAGAGTTTATTTGGGCTCATGGCTCCATCATGAGCTCCAGGAGAGGCATGGTAGCAGGTGATTGGAGCAGGAATCTGAGGGATCACATTTTCAACAGTAAACACAAAGTAGAGAGAACAAACTAGAAGTAGGTGAGGCTATATATTCTCAGAGTTTGTGCCCAGTGATATACTTCTCCAGCAAGGTTCAAATAGCATCATCAAATGGGGACTGAGTGTTCAAGTGCCAGGCAGATACATGGACTGCAGCGCAGAAGAAATGGAAGATATATGGGGTGGAGGGCAGTAGAAAGGCAGATATATGGGGTGGAGGGCAGTAGAAGGGGCAGTTACATGGGCTGGAGGGCAGTAGAAGGGGCAGTTACATGGGTTGGAGGGCAGTAGAAGGGGCAGTTACATGGGTTGGGAGACAGAGGCAGATACATGGGTTGGAGGAGAATAAAAGGGGCAGATACATGGGTTGGAGGGCAGTAGAAGGGGCAGTTACATGGGTTGGGAGACAGTAGAAAGGCAGATACATGGGTTGGAGGACAGTAGAAGGGGCAGATACATGGGTTGGAGGGCAGTAGTAGGGGCAGTTACATGGATTCTTCTAAGACAGCCTTTGCCTTTAACTTTGAGTGAGATGTGTAGCCCAGAGTATGATCAGAAGCTGAAGAGCAACATGCTCCAACTTGGATTTTGAAAGCCCACAGGTATAAAGGGTGTCACTGACGAGACTAGTCCGGGCGTGGTACCGGAACCTCGGATCACCTTTGCCTACCTTCTCATGGTACATCCTTGCTTTTCCTCTGGTTTCACATATTTAGTGGAAGTTACATAATATAATCTTCAAACATCTAAAAACACAAATACAAAATGTGTCAAATGCTAATTAACTGTTCTGTTAACTTTTCCTAGGGAAACTAAACAAATGTCTATTCACTTCAGATAAGGCCTTGGTCGTCAACTTGACTACATCTGGAATGAACTACAACCCAGAAATGGAGGGCACAGCTGTGAGAGATTTTTTTTTTTGCTTGATTTTGAAGTGGGTGAGTCCATTTCTAGTCTGGATCTTTGAGGCAGGCAGACATACCTCTTTGGCCCAGATCTTGAGGTGGGAAGACCACCTTCAATATGGGGCCACGCCTTCTGCTGGAAGCCTATATAAGGACATGGAAGAAGATCACCTTTCAAATATATGCACCTATGGGGGCCATTTTCATCCAAGCTACCACATTGGGCTTAGCTTCAGATCATGGGTAAGAGATTAACTACAAGCATGTGGGTGAGCACAAAGTCCCACGCCATCACCGAAGACAGCCAGATAGAAGCTGTGTCCTGGAATCCCACTTTCACTTACACTTCTACTTCCTGCATACATCTATCTCCCAAGACCACGTGCAGCTGAGGGCTGGGGGCAGGGCACAAAGAAGTAATGCTGGACTTACATCTTAAGGTCCTGTGACCCTACCCTCCCTCCTTCTACTAGGGAGTCTCGTTAGCTCCATTACCATCCCACAGATATCACTACGCTCGATTAGTTGCCATGGTTACAGGGCCAATGCCTAAATCCAAGATGGCAGTCTTGTTATGTCCAGAAGAAAAAGCCACACTATCATAGTAACTCATTAATAACGTTCAAATTCAGCATGGGTACTGAGAAAAAGAAACTTGGCTCTGCAACCCAGGTCAGGATGAGCTGCAGCCTCTGAAGAGATGGAAACTCCCAAAGTGATCAGTTGGAATAAGGCTTTTCTCTATATAAGGTGGTTTATCTCAAGTATATTCTAGTAACAGATGTAGAAAATTGGTACAGAGACTAAACCAGACTAAATCATATAGTGTGGAATTTCCCACCAGCACCCCCATATTTAGAAAAGCCAGAGTACCCCCTCTGTTTGGGGGGTTTTCTGAAGGCTCCTTTTCATTCAGGCCTCTTCTGACGTCCTCTGCGGTGGCGATCTCTCTTACTCTTTTACTTTGAGCTCCCTCTCTATATGGAGCTCCTCACTGGTTTTGAAAGGGGCACCCATCCCATGTGTTTCCCTGTAAGTCCTTGCTGCTGGCTCTGAAGTGATACATTGTCTCTGAAGGGATGCATTGTCTCTTCTAATGCTCTCCCACCCCAAGGCCCCACCTTGCCCCCTCCTGTGCTCAGGTTCCTCCTAATGAAGTTTATTTCTGAAGGGTAATTTTGTGTCTGCTCTCTTCCCAAACCCACAGCTCTCATCTACAGCATCTTTAACACCATAGCAAAGAATTTGGACACATTTTACCCATACCTCGATACCTTGTTGAAGGTTGAGCATTAGTTTATCCAGAAAATCCAGGATGGTGTAGCATGTAGACAACAGCTTCTTCCAGCCAAATTTACAGTGAGAATCGGGACTACAGAGGAGCAGAGTAGAAAAACGTAGAAATATTGCAGTTATGCCTACAAGAGAGTGAGTTCAGAGATACTGCCAAGGGGAATGTAGTTGCTAAAGATTCACATTGTTAAAAAGAAGCTAAATACATTTCACTGGGACAAAAGAAAAAGGGCCCTGAGGCCATCCCCAGCATTGGCAAGAACTCCACTCATGGCAGGCCCAGAGATGTAGAAACGCAAATTTGTTTCAGACTTTCTGAGGATGAGTCTTTTGACAGAGAGCTACAGAAAGGCCTGCCCATCCAGAACTTCTTTGGCTATGTGTAGTTGGCAAGGCACTCAGGTGCAGCCTGCAGAGAGAGCACCAGATCTGTGCTGTTCACCCAGCGCTTTTGCAGATATGCAGGCTGCAGTCATATAGTCACTGAGGCCCCCAGTGAAATTCAAAGGAACACCTGGATGGCCAAGAGGTGTATGGCAGGTTGGGATCCCCCAGGATGGCTCCTGAGAGGATGGTGGATGAAATTGTGAAAGTGAAGCTATCATGGAGACACCAGGAGGGAAGGGAAGCCGGGATGTTCACTGTCTGCCAAGGAACGAAGCAGGCAATGAGAAGAGCCAACTCAAGAGAGAGATCACATGGGCTACAGCCAGCCAGACCACCCAGGCCTATTGGAGCCTGAATCCTGCCACCTCAGGGCCCAGATACTGGACATGGAGATCCAGGATCTGATGTTTTCCTTTCTGGTTAGTCTTGCTTCTGTCTCAACCCTCCTCGCTATTGCCCTGTTGTCCATTCTGGAAAGGAATATCTTGGAAGTATATAACTTCTCTTTTATTTCTATTTTATTTATTTATTTGGGTTTTTCAAGACAGGATTTCTCTGTGTATCTTTGGAGCCTATCCTGGCACTCACTCTGGAGACCAGGCTGGCCTCAAACTCACAGAGATCCGCCTGCCTCTGCCTCCCAAGTGCTGGGATTAAAGGCGTGCCCCACCAACACTCGGCTTATTTTTATTTTTATAGAGAAGATTTTAGACTTGAACTTTTTTTTTATTGGTAGTAGCTTAGTTTTATTTTTCTCTTTTTTATTTAAATTTGTTTTTAAAATTTTACATACCAACCCAGTTCCCCCTCCCTCCCCTTCTTTCACCGCCACCTCCCTCTCATACCCCCCATCCACTCCTCAGAGTGAGTGAGGACTTCCTTGGGGAGTCAACAAAGTCTGGCATACCAAGTGGAGGCAGGACCAAGCCCCTCCCTCTCTGCATCAGGTATCCCACCATAGGGAATGGGCTCCAAAAAGCTAATTCATGCACATGGGATAGGTCCTGGTACTATTGCCAGTGCTGCTCCCCAACAGATCAGGTCACATAACTGTCTCCCACATTCAGAGGGTCCCCAGCTGTCAGTCCATAGTCTGTGAGCTCCCACTAGCTTGGGTCAGCTGTCTCTGTGGTTTTCCCCATCAGGCTCTTAACCCCTTTGTTCGGATGATCCCTCCTCCCTCTCTTCAAATGAACTCCAGGAACTCAGCCCAGTGCTTGGCTCTGGGTCACTGCCTCTCCTTCCATCAGTTACTGGGTGTAGGTTCTATGATAACAATCAGGGTAGTCACTAATCTGATTAAAGGGGAAGACCCATTCAGACGCCCTCTCCACTACTGTTAGGAGTCTTAGCTGGGGTCATCCTTGTGGATTCCTGAGAATTTCTCTAGCACCAGGTTTCTCCCTAACCCCATAATGGCTCCCTCTATCAAGATTTCTCTTTCATTGCTCTCCCTCTCTATCCCTCCTTCAACTCAGTCTTCTTGATCCCTCATGTTCCCAGACCCTATTCCCTCACTTAACCCCCCTCCCCCCAGTTTACCCAGGAGGCCTTAATTATTTTCCCTTCCTGAGCACATCCATGTGTGTTCCTCTTACCTTGTTGCATAACTTCTCTGGGCCTGTGTGTTGTTGCATGGCTCTCCTTTATTTTATGACTAATATCCACTTATGAGTGAGTACATACTGTGTTTGTCTTTTGGGGTCTGGTTACCTCACTCAGAATTTTTTTTTTTTTTTGGTTCCATCCATTTGCCTGCAAATTTCAAGATGTCATTTTTTTTTGTTTATTTTTTTTAACCACTGAGTAATAAATACTTCATTGTGTAAATGTACCACATTTTCTTTATCCATTCGTTGGTAGATGGGCATCTAGGTTGCTTCCAGCTTCTGGCTATTGCAAATAATGCTGCTATGAACATAGTTGAGCAAATGTCCTTGTGGTATGATTGTGTATCCTTTGAGTATATGCCCAAGAGTGGTATTTCTGGGTCTTGAGGTAGATTGATTCCCAGTTTTCTGAGAAACTGTACTCCCACTAGCCATGGAGGAGTGTTCCCCTTTCTCCACATCCTCTCCAGCATAAACTGTCATTGGTGTTTTTGATTTTAGCCATTCTGACGGGTGTAAGATGATATCTCAGAGTCATTTTTATTTTCATTTCCCTGATGACTAAGGATGTTGAGCATTTCCTTAAATGCCTTTAGGCTATTTGAGTTTCTTCTGTTGAGAATTCTCTGTTTAGACCTGTATCCCATTTTTAAATTGGATTATTTGATATTTTTGTGTCTAGTTTCTTGGGTTCTTCATGTATTTTGGAGATCAGCCCTCTGTCAGATGTGGGGTTGGTAAAGATCATTTCCCATTCTATAGGCTGCCATTTTGTCTTATTGACTATTTTTTAATAGTGTTGCATGCATTTGTATGGGTGTGTGGGTGTGACCACAGAGGCTAGAGGTATTGGATTCCCTGGAGATAGAGTCACAGGCAACTGAACTCAGGTCCTCTGTCTAGCCCAGGCTTGTTTTCTCATACACTGTCCCAAAGGCTCATGTGTTAAAGGCCTAATATTCATTATCACGCTATAGGGAGGTTGCCAAGTGCCATCTGTATTAGCCCTACATTGCGGGGCCATATGTCACGGACTGGTGCTGGTCGGGCTGCAGTTGTGAGTATAAGCCAAATAACTCCTTTCTCCCTCAAAGTTGCTCTTGGCCATGGTGTTTCATCACATCAATAGACGCCAAACCAGGACACACAGCAAATACTTTAGCTAGCCATCTTCCAAGTCCCACAATAATCCCCCCTTTCCCATTAACCATCAGGAAAAAGCCCCACAGGCTTGCCTACAGGCTGATCTCACCAAGGCACTTTCTCAACTGCCCATTCCCTCTTCTCATCTTGTGTCAAGCTGACAAAACCCAGCTGTGCAACACCCAACTCAGAATCCCTGCCAGGCATCACATCTGCGATTTAAATACTCTCTGGTGTCTCAACCAGACCATCTTGAGTTGACAATTTCATTTGGATTCACTGCTTCTGTCATTCCAAATGCGGTCCCTTTTCTGTATTCCTAGTCCTATCCTTGGCACTATCATCTGCCCAGTTATCCACATCTGCAACATTGGCTCATATTATGGGTCAAAAAAGAAGGCATTCCTGTTCATTCAGTAAGAAGATTTAGGAGGACATGTGTCCCTGGGCAGGGAGTGGGGGGATCAGCTTTGAAGTTTCAAAAGCCCATGCCAGGCCCAGTCTCCTCGCTTCCCCTTGTGGATCAGGATGTAAAGCTCATCCCGTTGGAGAGGTTTCCAACTCATCGATAAACTAGACAGTTATTTCATTTTAATACTCCCTGAACACCACAGAATTAGATCCTGTAAACTTGATTTAATCCTGCTACATATATTTAAAAGAACATATACATATATTGTTCTTTTAAAATCAATTTTTTTTTTTAAATTTTGTGTACTTGTTTAGGCACACCTGTGGAGGTCGGAAAACAACTTGGGGGCATGTGGAGGTCAAAGGACAACCTGGAGAAGTCTGGTCTCTTCTACTAGGTGGGTCCTAGGGATGGAACTCGGGTCCTCAGGCTGGGTAGCAAGTGCCTTTACCTGCCACGGTGGTGTTTTAATTAACTGTTCTGTTGTTGTGAGGAAACACCATGACCAAGGCAACATACAGAAGAAAGAATTTAATTGGGGCTTACTTAGAATTTTAGAGGGTTAGTCCATTACATCACGGCAGGAAGCAGATCGGCATGGCGCCATAGCAGCCCCAAGAGCTTTACATCCTGATCCACAAAGGGGGAAGAGACAGAGCCAGAGAGACAGAGAGAGAAAGAAACAGACACAGAGAGACAGGGAGGGAGGGAGGCAGCATGGGCTTTTAAAATGTCAAAGCTGACCCCCCCTAACACATTTCCAACAAGGCCACACCTCCTAAATCTTCTGCAAGCAGTACACTAACTAGGACTAGATATACAAATATATGAGCCTGTAGGAGCCATTCTCATTGAAACCACCACGTGAGAATAACCTCCATAGTCTCAGACCTTCCAACACTTGGTCCCCAGTTGGTGGCACTGTTTGGGAGGTACATCCTCATTGGAATCTGTCACTGGAGGTGGACTTGAGTGTGGAGACTCTATTATTCCCAGCCTCTCAATTTGTGTTTGCCATTTAAAATGTGAGCTCCCAGTACTTGGGAGGCAGAGTTCAAGGCCAGCCTGGTCTACCAAGTGAGTTCTGGGACAGCCAGGACTGTTTTACAGCCCCTACCCCCATTCTGGACTCTAAGTCACTGGAACCATAAGTCCAAACAAACTCTTCATCTATTTACCCTGGTTGTGTTGTTTCATCACTGAATACCCGCTGAACCATCTTGCTGGATGGCCTTACACTGTTATTTTTACCTCCTATTCTTTGAGCACATTATATTCTAGCCTCTTGATTTATTTCAGTGACCACTGCAATGAATTACTGTCTTTCTTTTTATTTGTTTAATATAGTCTAACGTGAGATAAAAAGTAAAATACAACACAACTTGGAGAAATGAATTTTATTTGAATTTATTCTAAATGTAAGAACTCTTAAATCTTTGGGTCACAGACCATTATGATGAACTATTATCTAAATTATAATTTTCCAAAAAATATAATTTTCCTTTTAGGAAAAAATATATATACCTACAGAATTCTGTCAGGCTCAATAGGATTCACCAATGTTCTGGGTCTGCTTGTAGCTGACAAATTAAGAAGCTCTATCTTTTCCTTTTTATTAAATTAACTTATTTTAGGCTTATTTATTTTTTTGTCCGTGAGTATGTATGCATGCCATGGGCATGCATGCAGCACCCAAGGAGGCCAGAGGACAGTGTTAGATTCCTGGAATTAAAGTTACAGACAGCTATGAAGTATCAGCTGGTTATCAAAGCTGGGTAGATCAAACTCTGGAAGAGCAGCCAGTGTTCTTAACTGCTGAGTCATCTCTCCAGCCTGATTCTGCCTCTGAGTGCTAGGATTAAAGCCATGCACCACCATGGCCTGACTCTATCCTAATATTTAAAAAATTGTTTTGTGTGTATGAATGTTTTGTCTGCGTGTATATCTGTTTGCCAAATGTGTGCCTGGTGCCTGTGGAGGTCAGATGAGGGAATTGGGTACCCTGGAACTGGAGTTGGAGGTTGTTGGGAGCCACCATGTAGGTGCTGGGATTTGAACCTTGGTTCTCTGCAAGAGCAGTCAGTGCTCTTAACCACTGAGCCATCTCTCCAGCCCCCCTAATATTTTAAATATATATTTTTATACTTTAGAAATAATTTCAATTTCAGTCCTATGGAAAGTGGCAAGCACAGAAAAAAGTTTGGGTTTTTGTTTATTTGGTTTTACTGGAATCATCTGAAAGTCAATTTGTGACTTAATGACACCTTACATTCAAATACTTCTCATTGTATTTTCTACAAACAAAACACTTTTTCTTTACACAAGTACAGTTAATGTATAACTTGTAGGCTTCTTTCAGATTTTGCTGAATCCTTAATGCCCTTTTGCTGATCTCCCTAATGCCCTTTATGTCAGGTACAGTTCCATCATCTTTTGTTGACTTTTGTAGCCACAGTACTTGAAGAATCTAGGCTGGATGCTTTGTAGGACGAACCTTGGGTAGAATTGTAATAGAACTGATGTTGCTCCCTTATGATTCTATCTTAGCAGGATTTTCTTTAAAGTATTCTCTTAATGCGTGTGTGTGTGTGTGTGTGTGTGTGTGTGTGTGTGTGTGTGTGTGTGTGTTCATGTGAGAGTGCAGGTGCATGCCACGGTGCGTGTGGAGTCAGAAGATAACCTCCCACCTTGACTGAGACAATGTCTATTCTTCCTTGGAGACATCAGGCTAGAGACCTGAAAGCTTCGGGGGATTCTGTCTGTCTCCCATCATTGCACTGGACAAAGGATGGGATGAAAGCTGGGCTACTGCTCCCTCTTTATGTAGGTTATTGGGACTTGACCTTAAGACCTCACCCTGACTTGGCTCATTGAGCCTCCTCCCAAGCCTCATCCTATTATAATAATGCTTCGTTGCTCATTTAATTAACACAAAGTTTCACAGAATGTTCCATTGTAAACTTACTTCCAGGTAATGGTCTATTACTGAGGGAAATCAGGGCAGGGACTCAAACTAGGGTAGAACCTGGAGGCAGGAGCTAAAGCAGAAGCCATAGAAGCTTGCTTCCTGTGGCTTGCTCAGCTTGCTTCTTTTTTATTACCCATCTGCCCAGGGTGGCTCTGCCCAAATATGGGCTGGGCCCTCCTACACTAATCACCCATTAAGAAACTGCCCCCAAGGGTTACCTACAGGCCAGTCTTATGGACTGTTTTCTCAATTCTGTTTTTCTCTTCTCAGATACGTCTAGCTCAGGTCAAGTTGACATAAAAACTAAGCAGAACATATACTAATTTCTATGTATTTTAAGCCTTAAGCTTGCACTATTTCCTATAATTCAATAACACAGAGTTCTTTTCTGATAGTAAGAAACTAGACTCCTAGGGATGGAGAGATGGCTCAGTGGTTAAGAGTACCGGCTGCTCTTGCACAGGACCGGGTTCTGATTCCCAGCACACACAAGGCAGCTCACACCCATCTGTAACTCCAGTTCCAGAGATCTGATACCCTCTCCTGGCTTCTGTGGTCACCAGGCATGCACATATTGCACAGACAAATATGCAGGCCATATACCCACACACACATAATAAAATTAAAAAAAGAAACTAGACTCACGTTATTATGTTTTTCTGATTTTTTGAGACAGGGTTTTTCTGTGAAGCCCTGGCTGTCCCAGAACAGAGCAAGCTGGCCTTGAACTCAGAGATCCGCCTGCCTCTGCCTCCCCAGTGCTGGAATGAAAGGCATGAGCCACCATCACCCAGAAAGGCAATCCAGCATGTGGCCTGAGTGTTGTGTTGTCCCATAGCCTTAGTTGGTGCCATTGTTTGGGTAGGTTTAGGAGTTATGAAATAGGTGCCTTCTGATTGGTTTAATAAAAAGCTGAATGGCCAATAGCTAAGCAGGATTTTTGGGGCAGTGTTCCAGAACTGCCAGCAGGAAGGAGCAGAAGCAGCATGGACAGTACAGAGTAAAGGTAACCAAGCCACACAAAAGAACGCAGTTCAAAAGATATGGGTTAATTTAAGTTATAAGAACTAGTTAGGAGAGGACTGGAGAGATGGCTCCATTCCCAGCAACCACATGGTGGCTCAGAACCATCCGTTATGAGATCTGGTTCCCTCTTCTGATGTGCAGATATATATGGGAGCAGAATGTTGTATGCATAATAAATAATAAATAAATAAAATCTTTAAAAAAAGAAAAAAAAAGAACTAGTTAGGAACAAGACTAAGGTAAATCCGAGCCTTCAAGTTAATAATTTTCTGTGTCATTTTTCATGAGCTGGTGACCCAAAGAAAAATCTGACTTAATTTAGGATTTCTGGCCTTGCTGGAGGAAGTGTTTCATGTGGGGGCAGGGGCGGGGGCAGGCTTTGAGGTTTCTATGCTTTCTCTCATTCTGTGCCTGTGGTTTAACACTTGAGTGCCCAGTTTTCTTCTCCTGCAGATGTGCCTTTGTCCACCATCATAGACTCCAGCCACCTGGAACCGTAAATCCAAGTAAACTTTCTTTTATAAGGTGCCATGGTCATGATGTTTTATCACAGCAACAGAAATGTAATTAATACATATGGAAAAACATAAAACTTATGTAATGATACTGGAGGAAATGAACACAGCTTACTATTTTTGTCTGGAAGCCCATTTATTGTTACACACAACATCTATCCTACTTATTCAGTTCACGGGTTACAAAAACATAATCATAACCAAAGTTAGGAACACAAAGCATTAACAAAGCAAATGGCATATAAAGTCCAAAACAAATCAAGACGCCCAGCTACCACGGGCTAGTGCAATGGCTCTGTACTTACAAAGCAATAATCGCAACCTGGAACGCTGGGTGACAGACAGCTGCGAAGGAAGTCTTTCTCCAAAGTCGTTCATCAGACACTTTTAGGAAAAGGTTTCCCAGACCAGCCTGGTGGTGGTGCATGCTTTTAATTCCAGCACTCGTGAGGAAGAGGTAGGTGGATCTCTGTGAGTTTGAGGACAGTAGGTCTGCATAGTGGGTTACAGGCCAGCAAAGGTCACTTAAGTGAGATCTTGTCTTTTAAAAATGTCTTTTAGGTCATGAGGGAAAATACTTTTCGCAGCCCTGCACGGTTATCACTGTATTTGCTAGATGGGTCCATAAGCTCTCTCTGAGCGTGCAATCCAATAAAAGAGGGCCTTAGGTTGAGCGGTTTGCTCAGGATTTCCCAGGGTTTAAAACATGGAAGTGAGGCATCCCGGAACCCGCTCAGTTCCAAGCAAACTTGGTGAGTGCTACCCAGACCCACGTCGTGCACAGTTGCCACCAGTCAGATATTTACATTTACGTTAAGTGAAATGGAAAAATCCGTTCAATTTAAGGGCTCGGCACCCACATGTGGCCAGCGGCTGCCCTACTAAGATGTGGACTATAGTCATCACCGCAGGAAGTTCTGTCTGGGTAGACAGTTGACAATTAAAAAAATTAAGGCCTGGAAGCCACAAGCTCAACAACCAGTAACTACCAAACGATGCTATCCACTCTCCAGAGAGGATGAAGAAAAAACATACTAACCGACAGCACATAAACGCCTGCCCAAACCCATCTGCCTACGGGGTTTTTCTGGGAGCTCACTCCACAGTCACCTCCCTGGCGGAGGTCGCGGTGTAGCGACCGACCGGACCGAACTACGCAGGCTTCTAGAACGAACTCGGAACCGCAGGGTCGGGAGCGTGCTGGAGAGAGGCCGGACAGGCCCTGCAGACCCCTCAGCTCGGCTGATGGCCCGGCCGGGCGAGCTCGCTCACGCGCAACTCCCGCGGCAGGTGGGCGGGGCCGTGACGCACGCACCTCGTGACCCCACTCCGGGCCTGCGCCGGCCGAAGCCGGAAGCGGCGGCTGTCGGAGGAACCTGGTGAGCGATCTGGTGCTGGCCCGCCTGGGAATGGCTCGGGACCCGGTGCTGGAGCAGCGCAGCGGGTGGCCGTCGCGGTGGCTGCGGGCGTTGCTGCTGCTGCAGCTGCTGCGGTGGAGGTACGCCCGGGGCGAGCTCCCTTTCAGCAGCAGTCGGCACCCGGGCTTTGCGGACCTCCTGTCGGAGCAGCAGCTGCTGGAGGTGCAGGACTTGACCCTGTCACTGCTGCAGGGCGGAGGTTTGGGGCCACTGTCGCTGCTACCCCCGGACCTGCCGGATCTGGAGCCCGAGTGCCGGGAGATGCTGATGGACTTCGCCAATAGCAGCGCCGAGCTGACCGGGTGTCTGGTGCGCAGCGCTCGGCCCGTGCGCCTCTGCCAGACCTGCTACCCGCTTTTCCAACAGGTCGCCAGCAAGATGGACAACATTAGCCGAAACGTCGGGGTGGGTAGAGAAGCAGCCCGGCACCTGTGGCACGGGGCTGGGAAAGTAAGGAAAAGGAGTTGGACTGTCATTGGAGTTGGATATCAGGTGTTAGGGGCCTGGGGTTTAGAATTCTGCCTCCCTCCATTCTGTAAGCCGGCATCCTCTTGGGACTGATTTGTAGTTAGATATGAGTGGCTTTCTTGGGGGACGGTGTTCCAACACTCCTACTCTTATCTTTCTTTCAGCCATCTCCTTCCCCACCTCAATTGTTAGTTCCAGAAAAGGGCCCTTTCGAAACTGTTAGTTATTAGAAGCTTGAGCATTACAGCGGACATACCCAGGGCCACCAGTTTCTAGCAGTGTGACCATGATTATTTTTCAAATCATCAGTTTCCTTCCCTATATAATACTACCCAAAAAACCCCTGTTGCTTCATGTTGCGGTATGGGAATTCATCTTACTAAGACAATCTGGAGCCTGCTGGCGAAAAGCCCAGTTCAGCTGTCTATTAGCTTGTACTCTGAGCAAGTTAGTGACACACTCTGCTTGTTTTCTCATCGTAAAGTGGGGATAAAGGGAGCCACAGAAAGCGGGCACGTGGTAATAGCTCGTGGTCAGTGGAGGTTGAAATTTTAGGACATGTTCAGCCTACCTTCTCTTCTTGATACCTTGAGTACCTTGAGAGTTTTTCTGGTCACTTGGAAGGTATGTGAAGGACGTCTTGAAGGCAAACAAAAAGAGGAAGACACAGTGTCTGCCTCTAAGTTCTGTAAACTCTAGGAAAGGATTAGACTGTCAGCCCAAGGAGAGTCACAGGGTTGCCTGGTAAAGGAGAAACAGGAATGACACGGGGATGGGAAGGTGGAAAAGTTCCTTTTGTACTGAGGGGCCCAGCAGTCTCATGAAAATATGGTTTTGGTTGCTTTATAAGTCAAAATTGAATTGACTGGATAGAAATCTGTCTATAGCTTCATCTTGTTTTTAAACCCGCCTAATATTCCTTCACAGAGTCTGTTATTTTTGTGAGTTCATTTGCATTGAGTAAATTCCAGCGTCAGTCTTTATGGAAAGAGCCAGCCTCCAGGGCAGTTTAAACAGGCTTGGACTATGTATTTCTCAGGCTCACTTCTGTCTCTGACTTTAAAGTCACTGCCCTCTGCAGCATTATCTTTGGTTTTGATCAGTTTCGTTAAATAAGTTGTCTTTAGGCTCCCTTTTCATTCTATTTTAATTTAATTTACTTGTGATGAAACTAACTGGCCTTGAACTTACCATGTGGCCCGGGATGACCTTGAACTCTTGACCCTGCTTTCACCTCCCAGGTGCTGAGATTACAGGTGTGGGCCACTATGATCCTGTTTTATGCAGTGCATGGACTTGAACCCATGCATTGCTCATGCTTGGCAAGCTGTCTACTAACTGAGCCCAACCCCTGATTTATTTTTAAATGGTTGGTGTTTCTCCTGTGGTTTGTCCAGTCCCTGCTCCACAGCTCCACTGTTCCCCCACCATTTATAGCCACCGTGCACTCAGTGGGCCCTCTCCACTCTGTCACATGTGGTCCATTACCCTCTGCCATCCCTTCAGCTTCTTTTTGTGACTCTTCTTGTGGCCTCTTTCTGATTTCCTGGCCCCTACTCAACACTCACTCCACGTAGCACACGTATATTAACATTAAAAGCTGGGCTGTGTATACAAGAGAGAAGATGCAGTGTTTGTCTTTTTGCACCTAGGGTTACCTCACTTCCGATCTACTTTTCCAGTTTCATCGATTTTCCTGCAAATTTCATAATGTCCAGTTGCCCTTTTTGTTTTAAATAAGGCACAGTGCCCCCATCATGGTGCCATCCTTGGGTCTTTAAGGGTGCAGAAGTTTTCCTCATGTAGGTGCTGTGGAGTTAGGAGGTTTTAAAAAAAATTACAAATGATCCCGAGCTCTAGTAATTAGAATTATGGGCATCACCCGATAAATTATAAACAAACTCCACATTACCCAGCTGAAGATTTCCAGAATGGGTTGTGGAAACTTTCTTCACCCTCCTGCCCCCCAGGTACTACCAGTAATGTGGGAACCCAGATCTCCTCCCCCAAGTGTGAAGAAACAGTGAAGTGGTCATCAGAGGTGGGAAAGCTTCCCCAGTCTGCAATCCTCTGCAATTCACCTGGATGGCTGTCTTTGCTGCTGTGCAATTGACTAGCTCAGGGATCTGGTTTTTGCAGTGTACTTCAAAACTTAATGGGTTTCTGCTGAGTAGATTGGAAGTTGAAGCCTGAGATTATCAGGAAATGTGTGTTTAAAGAAACAGCAAGTGTGAGGACTCTGCAATGGGAGAGTTTGTTGTATTGGAGGCTGGGAAGAGTTGAGCAGGTCAGCGAGGTGGCCTGTGATCCAAGTCTGCACTGGGCAGGAGCTAGGGATTGTGGGCTTAGTAGGGGAATGCCACGGATTTTAGAGTCTGAAACCAGTGTGATTGTGTTAGAAGGTTTTAATTCTGTAGAACATGGTGATCCTATTTGTCTTTGTGTGTGCGCGTGTGTGTGTGCAGGTCCCCACAGAGGCCAGAGGAGGGTGTTGGATTCCCCCGTAACTGCAATTGTGAGCTGCCTGATTGGGGTAGGGAGTGGAATTCAGGTCCTCTGCAAGAGTAGCAAGTGCTCAACCTCTGAGCGGCCTCTCCAGCCCTCTATTTGTCTTTGGAAAAATCCTTTTGGCAACATGGGCTTGGGAACAGGGAGAAGAGGTTATGTGGGAGATGAATTAGACTGTAGTGAAAGAGAAATGGTGGCTGATAAACCACAGGGTGCCATTGTCATATGGCAAAATGGGTGGATCTTAGAGGTATTTAGAAAGTAGAAAAGAGGTGATTTGGTGATTAATTGGTGGTGAGGAGCAAGGGAAAGAAATTGATGACTTCAGTGTAGTGAATAAGGTTGCCACTATCTCAGAGGGTGGAGCCTGTTTGTTGGGAAATCATGGACTTAATTCTGAAATGAGTTGATTTTGAGGTATTTTGAGCCATTTAAGTAGAGATATGGCATATATGGTTAGGTATGCATGTCTAGAGGTCTAGACTATGGGTTACACTTTTGGGAAGTGTTTGGAGCAAAAATAGTATCTGAGAAACCATGGCATGGATGAGTGTTCCTAAAGAATGAGACAGGAAGAAAGAAGTAGGTGAGAGGGTCTGTGAGATGGATCGCAGGGTAAAGGGCATTCTCTGCCAAGCCTGATAACCTGAGTTCAGTCCCAGAACCCATGTGATGGAAGGAAAAGAACCTGCTCCCTTAAGTTGTCCTGCACACACCAGGTGTGGCATGTGCACCCCCATGCATACAAAGTATAAATGCAATGTCATAGAAAGAATGAGTAGGAGTGCCAAGCCTTGAACACTGGGATAGAGGGCAAACTGTCAGAGAGGATTGAAAAGGAAGAGTCAGAAGAGAAAAATTAGGGGAGAGGAGTGTTTCACAGCTGAAGGACAAGGGACAGAGAGGTTATCTGAGAGAGCTGGGAATGTATCTGTGTGGCCGCCCTCTGAAGAGCCCTGCATTGCTGCACCACACCATATGTGGGAAACTGTCTTTGCGGGGCTGCAGTCAGAGCCAGCTGACTAGCCCATGGTTCATACCTGAGAGGGAGTGTGTGGACCAAGAAGGGCTAGCTAAGAGAGTTAAGAGACAAGATGGAGATACACGATAGATGTCAGGAAGGCCATTTAGTCCATACTGAATGCTGAGCACCCTTATTTTATTCCTCAACCTTTGTAAGTACCCAACCAAAAGTGGGGATGACAGAAGGCTTCATTATCATGTATAAGGGGCAAAGAGACTAACTTCCCTTAATCCTCCAGGTATTTGGTAGCCACACCTGCCATCCGGCCTTCAGGGTGAAGAGTAAACACACCTGAGCCCAAGTCTGTTGTTGTTTAGAGACATCCATTACCAAGGCCAAAACATCCTGCAGTGCCAAGCTTAGTCTTATAGGTACAAGGACAGTTTTGAACTCTCTGACCTTTAGTCAAGATGGAGTGGAGCCAATATTTATGGACCCCCGACGTATCTGTCAACATTAGTATTACTAATACAAGGTTTTTTTTTTTTTTTTTTTTGACAGAGTGACACCAAGATTAGAGTAGGTTAAACAATGAGAGGAAGGCAAAGGATGGGAAGAATTCCTCTAATGAAATCTCTGTCTGTCTGCCTGCCTGTCTGTCTGCCTGCCTGCCTGTCACTTGGCATTGAAGAGCAAACCTAGCTTTGCATGTGCTAGATAAGCGTTCCATCACTGGCTTACATCCCCAGCCCTGTTTGTGTTTTTGGATGTTTCCCTTTGTTGTTCACATTGATCTTGAACTGCTTGGCCCAAGTGATCCCCCTGCCTCATCCTCCCTAGAATCTTGGACTACAGGCATTCAACTGTACTGACAATACATTTAAGTGTTATAGGGGAGATGAAGGAAGACCTTGTAGGGGTGAACCAGACAAGACAAGGACCTGGGAAAAGTGGAATTGCTAAGACCTAGGGCAGTGGTTCTCAACCTGTGGTCAAGAAGAGCCCTTTGGGGATCTGACCCTTTCACAGGGGTCACGTATCAGATATTTAAATTACAGCTCATAACAGTAGCAACATTACAGTTATGAAGTAGCAATGAAAATAATTTTATTGTTGGGGGTCACCACCGCATGAGGAACTGTATTAAAGGCTCACATTATCAGGAAGGTTGAAAACCACCTGTCTAAAAGGTTGCAGCATCAGGAAGGTCGAGAACCACTGGTCTAGGGCATCCACAGAGCAGTGGGCGCTTTCTCTGTTGTGGTGGATAGGTAGACAAGTTGGAGTGATGTCTTACATCTTCTTTGTTACATAGGAGGCTGCGTCTTCCCTTGTGAGTAAGGATTGGTATTGTTACCTATATTTCAGGGAGTGCAGAGATTCGAATGGGTGTAAAGTAAGGTATGTAGATGGGGGTTATAGATTTGTTGTGAAGAAAATCTTGTGTGTGTGTGTGTGTGCGTGTGCGTGTGCGTGTGCGTGCGTGCGTGCGTGTGCGTGTGCGTGC